GATGCTGCTTGGCCTGCTGTGTTCATCCAGCCCTGCACCTTGTTGTCTCGGATTCGCCAGCATCTGCAGTTCCTACTATCTCTGACCTACATCAGTATTGGTCCTACAGTCCCATGACTGTTTTCAAATGCATCAATACTTGCTGTAGCTTTGTATAAGTTATAAAATTGATTATATCTGCATTTGTACTAGCATTTAATTCTTGAACCTTACAAAAAAAATCTAACCTTTATTGTTATTACTCATCTGAGCAGGAGAATCCATTTCTTTTAAATAAATGCAACTATCCAAAAATAAAAAACATTTTCTGAAGAAAGGTCACTGACATTTAAAAGAGATAGTAAGAACTGCCAATGCTGAAGAAGGGTCCCGACCCGAAACATCAACTTTCCTACTCCTCTGATGTTACCTGGCCTGCTGAGATCATCCAGCTCCACAATGTGTTATCACCAACATGTAAGAGGCAGAGGTGAGTACAAGAGGATAAAATGTGCTGAGACTGTATAAGTCCTGCCTTGGTTTGTCTTACCAAAATGCAACATCTCATATTTAGCTAAATTAAACTCCACCTGCCACTCCTCAGCCCATCAAACCAAGAACCCGCTGTACTTTTCACTGTTCATTACACCATCAATTTTGATGTCACCTGCAAACTTACTAACCATTCCTCCTACACTCACATCCAAATCATTTTATATAATGACAAAAAGCAGTGGACCCAGCACCGTTCCTTGTGCCACACTGCTGGTCACAGGCGTTCAGTCCAATAAACAACCCTCCACCACCACCCTCTGTATCCTACCTACAAGCCTATTTTGTATCCAAACAGCTAGCTCTTTCCAGATTCCATGTGATCTAGCCTTGCTAACCAGTCTATCATGCGGAACCTTATGAACACCTTGCTGAAGTCAATATAGACAACACGAACTGCTCTGCCTTCATCAATCTTCTTTGTCACTTCCACAAAGAACTCAATCAATTTAGTGAAGCACTATTTCTCACACACTAAGCCAAATCAGTCCTTGTCTTTCCAAATACATGTAATTCTTGTCCCTCAGAATCCCCTCCAACAACTGACCCAATCATTGACATTAGGCTCACAGGTCTATAGATCCCTGCTTTTCTTTATCACCTTTCTTAAATAATGGAACATCAACCATCCTTCCATGGCTATCGATGATATAAATATCTCTGCAAGGGGCTCAGCAATCACTTCCCTAGCTTCCCACAACATTCTGGGATACACTTGATCAGATCCCAGGAACTTTTCCACCTTTGTGCGTTTTAAGACATCCAGCACCTCATCCTCTGTAATATGGGCACTTTTCAAGATATCATTATTTATTTTTCCAAACTCTCTAGCTTCCATATCCTTCTCCACAGTAAATATTGACATGAAATAGTCGTTTAGTATCTCACCCATCTCCTGCCGTTCCACACATAGACAGCCTTGTTTATTTTTAACAGCTCTATTCGCTCCCCAGTTACTCTTTTACCCTTAATGTATTTGTGGAATATCTTCGGAATCTCTTTAATCTTATTTGCCAAAGCTATCTCATGTCCCCTTTTTGCTCTCCCGATTACCCTTGAATATACTCTTGTTGACTTATACTAGATCTCAGCTGTCCATAATTGCCACATGCCTCTTTTTTTCCTTAACCAGAGCCTCAATTTCTCTAGTCATCCAGCATTCCCTACCTACCAGTCTTGCCCTTCATACCAATAGGAACATACTGCCTCTCCACTCTCATCTCATTTTTGAAGCCGCCCCCCCAACAACTTTCCAACCACCCCGTTATCTGTGAATAGCCTCTTCCAATCAGTTTTTGCCTAATAACATCAAATTTGGCCTAACTCCAATTCCAAATTTTAACTTTTAGACCAGGTCTATCCTTTTCCAGAACTATTTTAAAACTAATAGAATTATGAACACTGGCTCCAAAGTGCTCCCTGACTAACACTTTATTCACTTGCTCTGCCTTATTTCTCAAGAGAAGGTCAAGTTTTTATAGAATAGAATATCCTTTAATGTCATGCATACTCCATTGTAGGAGTATAGTGAAAAACTTTTACAATGCCTGCCTCTTATGGCGCCATCTTAGGTAAAACTACCTAGGTGCAAAGTTTGGATACAAAAGAGGAATAAAAAGTACTTGCATTACTTTATGGAGTTTAAAAAGTAAGTTAGAAATAAGACATCATTAAAGGATTGACTTAACAGCCAGGTAAAAAAATTTCAAATAAACATTACATTGTAGTAGCTCAGCGCAGGGCCTTCGCATGTGGTCTGACTGCCCACGCCAGACCCCAGTCCAACAGTCGTCTCCGCTCTGCTCCAAGCCTCCAGTATACTCTGTACTGGTACTCAGCTGCTCCAAGTTAAGTTCCAGGGCTACCTCCCCCGTGCCAGTCTCTGCCTGCGCTGCTCTAGGGCTGCTTCCTCATGTGCTGCTCTGGGACTTGCAGCCTGTGCCTGCTACTGCTCCAGGATCTGCCTCTGGGGATAAGGGCAGAGAAAAAGAAAAAAAGAAAAAGGAAAAAGAAAGAAAAAGAACGGGCGGGGCAGAAAAGTTCCGGCAGGAGCGCCTTACTCTGCCACCATCTTATCTGCATTGCTCCTTCTCTAGTAGGTTCATCCACACACTGAGTCGGAAAATTTTACTGCACACACTTTAAAAATTCCTTTCCAAGTGTTAACATAATGACAGTCCCAGTCTATGCTTGGAAAGTTAAAATCTCTTACCATTACAACCCTGTCATTCTTACAAATATCTGAGATCATCTTACAAATATCTGAGATCACCTTACAAATTTGCTTCCCAATTTCCTGCTGAATACTGGGGGCCTTTAGTACAATCCCAATAAGGTGATCATCCCTTTCTTATTTCTTAGTTCGACGCAAATAACTTCATTGAATGTAATCCGAGGAATATTCTCTCTAAGTATTAGAATAGGAAAGGTTTGGAGAGATATGGGCCAAATGCAGGCAGTGGGACTAGCTTAGTTTAGGAACATGGTAGGCATGGACTAGTTGGACCAAAGTGTCTTGTTTCCATGCTGTATGACTATGACCTGAAAATGTTGACTATTTTTTCTCTCCAAAGTTGCTGTCAGGTCTGCTGAATATTTGCAGAATTTCAGTTTTCCTTTCAGATTTCAACCACCAGCAGTTTTTTTTGTATTAATGTTTTATTGCTATTTTTCAACTACTCTTAAAAGCTAAAGTAGCTCTCCAGTTAAATCTGTAGCTGGAACTATTGCAGAATTCATTAATTATGGCTTAACATTTTATTGACACAAAACACCTACAGACAGTAAAGCTCAAATTATTTAATAAATAAGGGCAGTCTGGAGGAATCTGCACTTAAACATCACAAACTTTATGTCTGTTTAATAATGTTTCTGAACAGTTTTAAGCTTTTCACTGACAACCATAGATTGTTTACGAAAACTGTCCATCAAATTTACAGTGTTCTTAGATGTAAGCTGGTACAAATCCAAACACTTTAAATTTTAAATTTAATGAAAACAATAAAGTGCCATTCAATACCAGTGATTAGTTTTATTTTTCAGTCAGCTACATTTGTTGAAAGTGGGTAAAATTAGTCTTATGCACAGAACTCAATCTGAAAGAAGACTGCATCTTTTGAGTACAAGCCTTAAACCATAGACCATAAGAATTAGGAACAGGAGTAGGTCATTGTGCCCCACAAGCCTGCTCCCTCATTCAACAGGATCACGGCTGAACAATATACAATAATACACTGGGCAGTTTTATTTTTGAACTAGGTAACTCCATTGAACACCAAATGTATTGAATCTGTATATGTAACATACTTATAAAATGTAATGAAAAAATTACAAAACAACCACAGAGTAGAGAAATGTGAGCAGTTCGATGCAAGGTGGGGCATTGAAAAGGAGAAAAAAAATCAACCAAATGCAGAGACTTTGAGAGATTCTAACTTCAACAGCTCCTAGTAATTTTAGTAACCAATTGCCATTTCATGGAAATTATTAGTATTTGACCAACATTCTTCTCAAAATTCTCTTTCCCATGAAAACAAATTCTAAGATACATTTACAGATGAAGTCTACTAATTGGATCTATATTACTACACTTATTGTTTTCTACAAATATATGAACCCTATTTCAACAATGGGAGTGATCGTTGTGGCACCGGGTGGGGGTGGTGAGAGATATTCCCTGCATCGAAGCTAGAAGATCAGAATTCAAGTCCCACTCAAGGATGTGATGATGTGTTCATTGTGTGGCCAAATACGTGGAGTATCATCTTTTAACTCCTTCGAGAATATATCAAAGGCAGGCAGTAAAAGCAGAAGAAATTCTTGGTCAGCCATGTAATAGGAAAAAAACTGAAGCTTTTATCATCACTATCCATAACTCCTGGATACAACGTGCATTTAAATCCATATGTTGCCACAGCAACTCTGGATCCTTCCTCTGCTGGTCAGCTCACAGAAATATCAACATCAAGGTCAAATGTCAAATGCTGTCATTGGTTCGCTCGCCGAGCTGGTTTGCTCATTCGCAGATGTTTCTTTATCCTGCTGGGTAACATCATCAAATTTCAAATTTATGAAACAGCAAAGCTGTTAAATATAAATATAAATATAAACTGGAATGTTAAATATAAAGCAAACACTTTTTTCCATAAAGTATCTCTACTCCAAGGTGTCCAAACATTATAGACCACATCAGATGCTATAACTGCACTACATGTCAAGTTTAAATCTGAATTTTCACTAATGTGCATGCATTTCAAGTTGCTCACACCAACAGATTTTTGAGCTCCAAATTACAATTGATCAACCAATGAGGTAACAGCCCCTCCAAGGTCAGCTTCAAAGGTTCAATTTCAAAGTCTCAGGACATGGTAGACAGTTTGGTCACAACTATCCCAATCCCTTAGAAAGTAGATTTAATCATAAAGGTTAATTGTGTGTGTTTAAGAGATAAACATCGATGAAAATTATCAAACATAAGTTATATTATTGCATCCACACACAACACCTCAATGTACCACAGTTACTCCACAAGTTGCATGTTACTTTGCAAAGCACACAATTTAGAAGTGTCATTAAAGTTCCTACAACCTCTATTTGTCACTCAATTTAATTTTCAAATTAAGGTATCCTAAATGAAAAAACTTGGCTATACAAGCAAAGTAGGCCATCAGCCAACTTCCAAAATGAAAGCATACACAGTAATGTATGTAAATATCATAGAAAAGCCTTAACCATACCATCCCTAACCTTTTAACAATTACATAATAGTGTCAATTGGCCCAGCAGATCACAACTCACTCCAAAACCCATGGCCTCTCTTCGCCATACTGAAGACAGCTACTGACTCCTGTTCCACAAAAGGCAGCTCACATTCTGACAAGCTAAAATCCACTACAGCAATGCAGCAAATTTTAATTAAGTCAAAACATAAGTACTAACCAACTTGAAGATAGTAAAAATTGCCAATGCTGGAGTCTGAGATAACACAGTGTGGAGATGGAGGAACACAGCAAGTCAGACAGCATCAGAGGAGCAGGAAAGCTGACGTTTCGGGTCGGGACCCTTCTTCAGAAAAGGGGGAGGGGAAGGGGGCTCTGGAATAAATACAGAGGGGTGGGGCGGTGATAGCAGGTAGATAGTGGAGCGGATAGGGTGGGAGAGAAGACGGACAGGTCAAGGTGGCGGGGATGAAGCGAGTAAAGGTGAGTGTACGTAGGTAGTGGTGGGGATTGGTCAGTGAGGTGGGAGGAGCCGATAGGTGGGAGAGAAGACGGGCAGGTCAAGGAGGCGGGGATGAGAGGGGGGCTGGTCTTGGGATGAGGTCAGGGGTGGGGGGATTTTGAAGCTAGTAAAGTCCACATTGAGACCATTGGGTTGTAGGCTTCCCAGGCGGAGTATGAGGTGCTGCTCCTCCAGTTTTCGGGTGGCATCGTTGTCGCGATGGGCACGTCATCCAGGGAGTGGGAGGGGGAGTTGAAGTGGTTCACGACTGGGAGGTGTTGTTGTTTGTCGTGAACCGAGCGTAGATGCTCTACAAAGTGGTCTCTGAGCTTCCCAGGCCCCGAATCCTCACGTATCACCCCACTAACCTCCGGATTCAACGCATCATTCTCCGCCACTTCCACCACCTGCAATCTGACCCCACTACAAAGGATATATTTCCCTCCCCACCCTTATCTGCCTTCCGGAGGGACCGCTCTCTCCGCAACTCCCTCGTCCGCTCCACACTCCCCACTAGCCCACCACCCCTGGCACCCTTCCCTGCAACCGCAGGAGGTGCTACACCTGCCCCTACACCTCCCCCCTCACCTCCATCCCAGGCCCCAAGAAAACCTTCCACATCAAACAGATGTTCACCTGCACATCCGGTAACGTGGTCTATTGTATCCACTGTTCCCGATATGGCCTCCTCTACATCGGTGAGACCAAGCGGCGGCTCGGAGACCGCTTTGTAGAGCACCTACACTTGGTTCGCGACAAACGACAACACTGCCCAGTTGCGAACCACTTCAACTCCCCCTCCCACTTCCTGGACAACATGTCCATCCTGGGCCTTCTCTAATGTCACAATGATGCCACCCGGAAACTGGAGGAGCAGCACCTCATATTCCGCCTTAGAAGCCTAAACCTAATGCTCTCAATGTGGACTTTACTAGCTTCAAAATCACCCCACCCCCGAACTCATCCCAAGACCTCCTCCCTCCCACCTCACTGGCCAATCCCCACCACTACCTACCTACACTTACCTTTACTAGCTTCATCCCCGCCTCAGTGACCTGCCCACCTATCCGCTCCTCCCACCTCACTGACCAATCCCCACCCCTACATACCTACAGTCACCTTTACTAGCTTCATCCCGCCTCCTTGACCTGTCCGTCTTCTCTCCCATCCTATCCGCTCCATTATCTACCTATCACTGTCCCCCCCTCTATTTATTCCAGAGCCCCCTTCCCCTCTCCCATTTCTGAAGAAGGGTTCCAACCCGAAATGTCAGCTTTCCTGCTCCTCTGATGCTGCCTGACCTGCTGTGTTCCTCCAGCTCCACACTGTGCTTTTACTAATCAACTTGAGTTGGCTTATTTGGAACAAATGTAATGCCATATATTAAAGTGCGCTTAAAAACTAAACAGCATAAATGCCACGTAAGAAAATACTCACTACAATGTACCGCTGAGGTTCAGCAAGAAAGCAAAATTAATTTGAAATCCTGCTCAGTAGGATTTTTAGAAACGTCCTGGTCTTCACAGAAATACACTATATTGGGTCACAACATTCAATATACTTTGTCACAAAGTCACATTCTAGTGAGTTGTTTTCAGCTATAAACAACAAATAGCCCTTAAAATCCATTCTACTCAGTCCTATTTGCATTTCATACTTGATGGTTTATCCTGATTGTTAATTTTCAAAATTCCAGGCGCAAAAAGTAGTGCTCAAGATTAGAGTTATATACATTGAGAAATCCTAAATCAGAATACCAGGATCCAAGATCTATTCTCAGTAATCTGAAATGTATGAAAATTAATGAGAATGTGGATTTAATTGTTATGCGCTCTCTAAAAATCCACACAACACATAATGCCTTCCACAAGTGGATACTTGAACAATAACTGAAGTCACCAAGGCAGTTACATTTGAAATAAATTGGATCATTAGAATTTTACATTCTAAATTTCAAACAGGTAAGAGGGAAGATCCACTGTTTCACATGTCCAGCAGAGGTTCCCCATGCAGGTGACCTAAAAGGAACATGGGAACAGGAATAGACCATTCAACCCATAAAGCCTGCCCCACCATTCAATACAATCACGGATGATCAAGCACTTCAATACCTTTTACAACCACATCCACAGACCTCTGTATGCCATTCATAATCAGAAATATATCAACCTCTACCTTAAGCAGACACAAAGAATGGGCTTCCATAGCCCTCTGCAGTCAGGAATTCCAAAGGTTAACAATTGATGGAGTAAAAACATTTCTCCTCATCTCGGTTCTAAATTGTGCCCCTGGTTCTAGACTCCCCAACCAGGGGAGATATCTGCATATACCCTGTCCATCCCTTAAGTAATTTCTAAGTTTTAGTGAAACTGTGGAGAACACCAAGCCAGTTTGTTCAATTTCCCTTCATAGGTCAGTCCTGCCAAACTAGTCTGGTGAATCTTCGTTGCACTCCCTTCTATGGCAATAATATCTTTCCTGAGATAAGATTCTGCAGAGAACTGCAGCTGCAGACTAACCAAGCTCCTATACAATTCAGCAAGACTTCATTACTCCTGTATTGAAATCCTCTTTTAATAAAGGCTAGTATTCCATTAGCCTTGCTAATAGCTTGCTGCACCTGCATGTTAGGCCATCAGGGACTTACTGAAAAGGACACTCAGGTCCTTTAGGACATACATACTTTAAAGCCTTTTACATTTAAGAAATGCTCTATGCATCTGTTTTTCCTGCCAAAGTGGATAACCTCAAATTTTTCCACTTTATATTCCAGCTGCCACGCTTTTGCCCATCTACCAGGCCTGTTCAAATCCTTTTGAAGCCACTTCACATCTTCTTCACAACATGTTTTCCCATTTAGCTTTGTACCATCTACAAATTTGGAAATGTTATATTTGGTCTCCGCCCCCAAATCATTGCTATATATTGCGAATAGTTGGGACTGGAGTACTGTGACTTGCAGTAGTATTCACCTACTCAAAGCCTGTCAAAGTGAAAATGATCCATTTATTGTTGAACTGTTTTCAGTTTTTTTTAGTCAATCATTAATCAATACTGGCAATTTACCTCCGAATACCTGTGCTTTAATTTTAATAATAGCATTCTATGAAGGACTTTATCGAAAACTTTCTGAAAATCCAAGTATACTACACTCATCAACCCGCCTTTAATCAAATTTGTTAGTGACATTTTCAAAAAAAACTCCAAGTTCGACAAACATCATTTCCTTTTTGCAAATCCAAGCTGACTATGCTTAATTATTATCCTCCAAGCATCTATTTGTTCCATCTTTGTAACAGATTCTATCATTTTCCCCACTACTGACATGAGGCTAAAAGGTCTGCAGTTCCATGTTTTCTCTCTCCTTTCTTAACAGTAGGGTGCCATTTGCTAACTTGTAATCCATAGAAATCATTCCAGAATCTATAGAATTTTGGAAGATAATCACTAATGCATCTACTATATCTACAATAGCTACGTACTACAACACTCTAATGCTAATTTCCTTCAACTGCTCATTTGGATCTCTAGTTCCAGGAGATTTATTGTATCTTCCTCAGTGAAAACAGAAACAAAGTAATAGTTTAGCTTCTCTGTCATTTCTCTATTCACCATTATGAAATTCTCCTGACTCTATTTGTAATGGACTCACATTAATTTTAGCCAAACATTTCCCTTTTACATCTCTATAAAAGCTTTTACAGTCTGTTATGTTTTTCACTTGATGATATTCATATTCCACTCTCCCTTTTTTAATCAGTCCTCCTTTGGCCTATTTTAAAAATCTCCCAATCCTCAAAATGACCGCTTTATCTGGC